TATTTTTGTTTTATTTTTTATTTTTATTTTTTTATTTTATTTATTTTATTGTATTTAGTTTTAATTTAATTTATTTTTGTTTTATTTTATTTAGGTATTTTATTTTGCTTATTTTTTATTTTATTTAGTTTTATTTTATTTAGTTTTATTATATTTTAATTTTATTTTATCTGTTTGTCTTAATTTATTGGTTTTATTTTATTTTATTTGTTTTATTTTATTTTGTTTTATTTGTTTTTATTTATTTTGTTTTGTTTTGTTTTATTTACACTGGTGCACTAAAGTTACATTTTATGTCTTGAATTAACCATGATTGCATAAATAGCCAAAAATATAAATAACAAAAATACCTTTTCAGTCGCTTTCTAGTAAGATATCATCTCAAGTTTGGCTTTTATAAAGTACCTATATAAATTGTTTGCATTAAACAACAAAATAATTTGAATTAAACAACACAGATTAAATTTAGTATTGTTTCTTTCCTTATATTCAGCCCAAATAAATTGTTTGCAACCCCTTACCTTCACTTAAATCCAGTCAATCATTTCCCCCATGTACATCAGCTTCTCTCTTGTACTTCTCTATTTCTGGCAGCAGTGTTTTCATTACTCTCTCTCTGTTAATCCACACACATTCACAGCCAAATAGGATTACATTGGATTTAGTGAGGAGAAATGAATTTCCCATGCTTGCATCAGCATCTTATGAGGGTTTTTAATGAATCAAGCACACGGTCAGTAACAAGCACTGAATCTCCTCCTCTGTGCAGAGTCATTAAACTTTATACTTTCCCTTCCACTGATTCACACCTAATTATGTGGTGAGATGATAAGCATTGTTGAGGATTGCAGGTCATGCCAAAGACTGCGTTTGTTTATATCAGGACAAAACTTTTTAAGCCGCTGAGAGGTTTAGAAAATCAAATGAGATATAAATAAAGGATATGAGATGCTCCTGATATGCCTACACAGATGATTGATGAAATCAGGGGCTTGTTGGCAGATAAAATTATCAATTTCATTTTTATAATTCCTGAAAGTAGACATTTTAATTTTATTAAAATGGATGTTCATCCAATGTTTTTATTACTCTTCAAAATGCACAAATTAAAATATGTGCCCATAAAAAATAATGCACAACAGTTATCTTTATTAATCACAGAAGAACATGTTGAGCCTTATTTTTGAAGACATTTGTAACCACGGAGAGTAACACCAACAACTCAGGTAAGATCCAATATGCAGGTTTATTCAAAGTCAGGCAAGCGATGGTCAACACAGGTGCAAACAGGTGTTTGGAGACAGTCCAGAATCACAGTCGAATACAGGCTAGAGGTCAGAAAGGCAGGCGGCAGGCAAAGACAAAGAAGATAACAAGGCTAACGGTCGGTACACAAGATGACAAGACTGGGAAACCGCGTTGCAGTGTTATTAGTGACAGATAACAAGACTCAGCAAACTGAAGGGGTGAATTTGTGGCTTAAATAGTGTGTGTTAATCAGTCTCTGGCAACCCTCAGGTGGTGTGAATGTAATCAGTCTAGATGAGGAAGCATGTGTGAGTGTGACCGGAGTGCATGTATGAATATGTAGTCCAGAAATGGCGGATTTGAAGTCCATGGTTATTGCAGGTGCAAACCAGCAATCTTATGGGAAATGATCGCTGGTAATCGTGACAACAACTCATGGCACTGATTAATATCAGTTTAATAAATAGATTATGCATTTATTTATTATGTTTTAAAATATATTTTAGTGTCAATTTCTGTCATTTCAGTTGATTTATTTAATTATTTTTTTATATTTAAACAAATAACCAAGCATGATATTATACATAACTTATTTATTATGATTGTTTTTATTATTATAATCATTATTTTTACTTAAAATAGAAAGATTTAAACAAAACAATATTAATAAATATTTATATATCTTTTTATGGGTTTATTTTATTTATAAAATAATCTTAATTTAAAATTAAATTAAAAATTAAAAAAAAAAAAAAAAAATATATATATATATATATATATATATATATATATATATATATATATA